TTCCTTCGTCCCGCATTCCCGGCACGAGTCATTTAATACTAGAGTTCCGTCTTGTGTTTGTCAGAGTACATGATCAGTGCCCCGAACCTCTTACCTTTCCTCTTCGACCCGTCTCTGACATCTACCACTCTATCACGTCGGGTCTCTCGTGGCTGGTCTTTCGATGGTAATTTTAATGATGTGGCAGAAGGGCGTTTGGCATTTGGTGGAAGTCCTCGCGTGTCGTCCGGGCAGACACTGATTTACAAAGCATTTTTAGCATTTAAATGTTTGAATATGCGGCCCCGTGGAATGCGTGTGCAGGACTAATTGAGTCCTCGGTCAAGGAGTTCATGCGATAGCGGCCTGCGGCTGTTTCTGTTTACTTTTCTCTTCTTTTCAATTCCATTCTGTTGTGTCGCTTTTCACGCGCATTTGCAAGGAATCATTCGGATGTAGCCGTGTGTGTTTTGTTGGATTTGTACTTGTTCCTATCATGCTCTCTGCCGTTGTCAGTTTCAAAAACAGTTGATTCACCAGATCCGCCTGGTTCTTTCGTCTTTTTATCTTCCCGTGCTCAAAGGGTGTGACGAGGAGTCTGCTCGACCCTTGTTGGTCGAGTGACTACAGAGGGGGGGTGGTGGAGGAGCAGTAAACCAAGCCCTTTGTCGGCCTCGAAGAGGTTTGCGTTCCTGAGTCTGCGGCAAGTTGTGCTATATATACGTTGATGCAGAGTGATAGGTGAAGATGACAAGGAAAAGCAGATCTACTGAAAGAGGAAGAGAAAGAGCACGTGCATTCAGCATGGCCGTGGGAGTTCTATATCGAAGACGGGGGCTTGATTTCCGTAGAGTAATCCGGTCTTTTGGATGTCAGGTGTGTGAACATGGGCGTGTTAGGAGTTGTTTTCGAAGATACCTACTTTTTACTACTGCTGCATACATAGTATAGTACTACTTTAATCCCATTAGATAGAGCTTCTAATATACAGTTCTATAGCGATCATTTTCATCACATCGAGCAGCTGACATGTAAGTACGTTGTATGCATGCATACTTTCCTATGCTATTCTCTATCTACTTATCAATGTTGGCAACACCGCAGTAGACTGTCTTCCCCAACATAAGAATCAACCATTCAATAAACTACCTACTCATTAAATCAAACATCATCTCCGTACTACTATCTACTCTGAGTACCACCCATCGCCAAGACACAAACACGGCACAGTAGCAGTGAAAGCCACCCATCCACCCAGCCCTATCATCCCACTAGATACTCTCTAGTGCCTACTACTATCCTCAGCTTACCCTGCAGGCCAAGAAAGAAGGTATTCCTTCCCGCTATGACATGATGACATGCCATTATAACCATCCCCATAATCCATGCCTTACACGTATACCATGACATGACTATGTATCCATCTATCAAGCAAGCAAGCAATCAATCAAGTGAAGTAAATTATCCAACTACGCACCTCATTGGAAGACGGTGCTGTGAGCTGTGCCGTGTTCGGGACGAGGGGGGGGGGAGGAGGAATGATGATCGGTAGGGATTGATGAATGGATGGTGGGAGAGAGGGGGAAGGGGGGGGGGATCTGTGCGTACGTTAGGACTACGTACTACTTAGGCTAGTTTGTAGTGGAGGATCGGGTGATGTTATAGGTTGGGATGGATGGAGGGATGGAGGAGGGAGGGATGGAGGAGAGGGGGTTGATGGTGATGATTGTCTTGGCTTGGCTGGCTTGGGTTTGATGTTGATAGTTGGTGGTTGGGTATGTATGTATGTATGTTTGAGAGGTTTTTGATGTTCAGCACTACGTGGGTGTAGTATAGCTTTTTACTATGTATGTATGTATCTATATAAAGGATTAACCCATGGTGATGCAACATTCCCCATCCCCATACCAGAAGTTGTCCTGTCTGGTGTGGCATGCATGCTACGGGGTTACTACCACCAAGTGGGATAACGATAAAGTGAAGTAATTTCTCACCCAGCATCTTCCTGCGGAATGAATTTCAGTGTAAGAAGACAGACATAATGGTGTAGGAATATGTTTTCCTTCCAGTCTTGGCAACTTGCTTGGCTGCTTGGCTACTTCACTTCTCTGGAAAGTGAACGAATCATTGTTGCAGATGAGGGGGTAGCTGTCTTCCGTTAAGTCTGTCTGTGATAGGGTTTGCCTTCTTGGGAGGAGTGCATACTATAGTAATTTACTACCCCGTCTCGTTAATACACGGAATATAGACCGGGATGATGGTGATGGTGATGGGGGATCGGCGATGGCAATCAATCAATCCTACTACTTTGTACTAAGTAGCTATGGTGGTTTGATGCTGTCATGTTGCAGATGTGGTGCAGGGGTATATTGTGGACGGCCTGATGATAACTATGTAGTAGTTACTTTGTAGTACTAAAGTTACTTAGTGAGGTGATGGGATGATCATAATAGTATCCTCATATATACATGAAGTACAATAATACTATAATAGAAGGACGCATTATTTATGATGTGGAAGGGAAGACCTTCTCAGCTCTACATAGAAAAAGTGACAGTTCAATATCCCGAGCATCTGATTTGACTGCCGGGCCAACCACAACCAAACATATGATGACCGACAACGGATCATGAGACAAGACAATCCTCTCATTATTCTCCACTACAGCAGGTCTAGACCCAAAGTGGGAATGGGGAGGGGAGGGGGGCAGCAATTCGGGCCCGAGAATCGAATCGGAATCCCGGTTCCCAGTTCCCACTCGCCTGTTTCAGATTGACGGGAGGAAGCAGAAAGACAGACAGACAGGCATCAGGCCACTTCGTCATATTCTTCAGGCTTTGGTCTTTTTTATCGCGTTGGGCTGCCCTGGTCCGGATCTTCCTTATATCATCCACTTACTATGATGATCCAAGTGCCTGCCTGCCTCACTTGTTCGCACTGACCGGCTATTCTTTGCTGCCTTTTCCCGTGTAAGGGTTCTGGTTCTGCAGAGATCTCTTCTCAATTCTCATGCGGTGTCTGATCGCGTCATAACTCGTTTTCTTGGCTAGTGCGGCGGCATAGTGTATTGCCGACCACGGAGAAATTGTGGATCTTGACTTGGAGGTCGTTCTTTCGTTAGAGCCCAAATATGGTGGAGTATACGTAGGAGAAGTTTATGATGGCGAAAGAAAGAGATGAGAGATGAGGGTCCTTTCATTGCCAGGATTGATACTGAAGTAACTCAATGACTTGACTGTCGTCGATCATAGGAGGCTTGTGACTAGTACGTTGTAGGTGATTTACGGTGGATTTTGTTGCTCCTTCGGTTGACTCCGAATTCCCCGTAGAATTGTAAGTCTCCAATCGGTGCAGTGCAAACATACAGCGCCAACTTCACCATCAATGTAAGCTGCTAGCAATTAGTACGTCAAAACCTGCCAGGCAGAAACAGCTGTACGAGAAAAAAAAAAATCTTCTCTTCTGACAGCTGGCCGAAAACGTGGCTTCGTGGCGGTCTCGCGCATTTAGCAATTGAGGTCGTACACGTGGTGACCAGTCCTTGGCAGCGCCCTCGATACGATGGGGTCAATTGGAGCTGTAGGTACGTATGGATTTCTGAATGGTTGTTCAAATTGCTAGCTTGCTGGAAAGATGGAGAGCTGTAGGTAGCAGCAGCAGCAGCAGCAGCAGCAGCTACCTGCTTAGCTCCAAGAAGTTCCTTCTGCAAGTGGGCTCTTGTTCGCATCCTACTTCTGCATGCAGGAAGCTATGAGACGAGAAGTGAGGCGAAAGGTATCCAATATCGACTCGAATAGCTTCATTACCATTGAGTTATTAGTTTTGGTGTGTCCACCATTGGCGAAAAATGACTATACTCAGATTTAGTCATAGCTATTAGATTGTTATTTGGTGTTACCTCCGATGCAAATTGATACCTAACTTTCCCTATCAGTACTCCGTTCTACCTTTGGGGTTTTCGGTGTGCGGGCGGTGCCGACAACCTTGTTGGCTGGACCCAATATTTCCCCCCCCCCCCCCCCCCCCCCTAAGACTTAACTAATGAATAAAAACATGGAGCAAACAAGGATAAGTGCCAGGGCGGGTACCGTCGCTAATCGTCGGCGTGAACTGGCACGGAGATTAGGTAATCTGTCTCCATTAGTACTCCATAGTTGCTGTGGTCCTATCTACGTATCACTCTTCGGAGTCCGGATAGTAAGTAGAAAATTAAGTTGATATGTGGAGAGAGAGAGAGATGGGCTCAATTTTTGGTATATTCATGCTGCCGAAGTTTGATAAGACTCCGATGATTCTCTTTCCCAAAGGAGCAGCGACTTCACTAGCCTAAAGATTAGGTTCAGCACTCCGAAATAGTTTTTCATTCCCAACTGATAAGCCACCGCGCTGCTTTGCCACCCTCACCCGATCCGTCGCTAAGGACTTTCTTTCTTTCTTTATCAGTCCGGAGCATATCGGAGCGCTTTTCCATTCTCGAAGGCCGAATATTAATTTTTTGTCCCTGGTGATATGCAAAGTTGCTTGTTGTTGTTACATTAATAGAGTGGCGTTGTGCAAAGAAGAAAAAAGAAAAAAATTGATGTTCCTTCGAAAGCTTCCATGATCAATCTAGAATTTCGTGATGATCTGCTCTGCTGGTCAGTTGATGCGACGACCCCGGCACCCGTTCGACGGACAATTAATCAGGTGGCACAACAGCCCATGGAGGATGTAATGGAACTTGATAAGTAGAGCCAATTAGTCAAGATGACTCAGGCGTGACCGTCCCGAGATGACCTAACTCAGAAGCTTCAAGCATGTAGGCAGTAAGGTTACCGGGACCATAAATCTGTGTCGTATTCAAGTGTCACTCGACCTTTTCAAGCCACTTACTTACTGGGGGCTAGACGATCTGCAAACGGGCATCACACAGCAGGTACATGACGTTATTTGGGTGTGGCTTGTTCGAATTGATGGATGGTAACTCAGAAAATTCCTCCCCTTTACACAACACCCCTTCCCACTTATACATTCGTAAGCTATTAGAATGCTGTTGCTGATGGCGTTATCAAGGGAGGCGGTAGATCTTGTACGCCTCCTCGAGTCTTCGCCTGCCGTGTCACTCCATGGAACCTTCTGTTTTGGCTTCTTTCTAGTGCTGACGTAGAACCTTTTCTTTGACAGGGACTACGTGGTAGCACAACAACATCCGATGAGATACACTGGTGAGAAAAAGGTCCATGTCATTCTAGAACACAACATCAAGACCCGTCCGCCACCCAGAATGACACCTGAACGGTAGGTAACAGGTTTGCAATATACTAAAGTATACTCCTACTACTCTATAACCACTCCATTACTGCTGTATCAACAGTACCTGCAGGTCATAAAATGCACTTGCCCAAAGGAAGTAAAGAGAAGGAGAAGGACTTCAAACGATATGCCCCTATCGCGCCAAGGCCTGGCAAAGACGCCCCGAGAGCATGCTCCACAGCCGCTAACAAGCTTCTGGACCAGATAAAGGAAGGCACTGCACCTCGTGAGCACAGCGTTTAAAAGCGCCAACCTCAAATAGGAAACACATTGCTCATCCATCTCTGCTGGCATTGGCTGGTGGATTAGTTGTGCGTGTGTGTATGGGGGGTGTGGGGGGTGGCACCACCAATCCACAAAGCCGTGAGGACCCTCGGAACTGGCCAGAATTCGACCACTTGGGCAACGCTAATGCCACACACTCTCATTGCCTTTTCGTCAGACGTGGCCACTGACTGGTCACAATCAACAGTAACTGCGTACGGGCGGGCCGAAAGCCCCTCTCTCCCTCCTCCCCAGTTGCCATCTCATTAGTGGATGCCGCAAGGGTTGGGCTGGTTCTCTCGCTTCCCCTTGCGGTTCGCAACTGGGGCAAATCAGCAGTCCTCGAAATTTCTTTGCGTCTTCCTTCGTGTTCTGGAAAAGGTAAGAAATTCCAGTATTCCATTTTATTTTTTCATCTTATTTTTATTTTTATTTTTTTCTTTGTCGGCTGGTTTCCCGACAACGGTTTGCAATGATGAATCAATGTCCCGGAATTTGACACTTGAGCCCGCGACCGCGACCACACCGGGATCGGAGGATGCTCTTCTCGTTAACCATCACCACCACCCTGTGACACATACACCAGTATGCTGCATGTCTGCAGGCCCTTGCAGGCGCGTTTGGGGAAAGCCACTAAACACAACCCCCGGACAAGGGTCATTACTGGTGATACCACGCCGTCCAGCCGTTCCGCCCCCCGGATTGGACGTTGCAAAGCATTGTGGATGGGGGTTAAACCTCCTGGGTAATAATCGGAATTGGCGCTCAGAAGCTGATGGCGCTTAGCACGATGATGTTATCCTGTACTAGAACCATTCCAGCGTAGCACGGCACTATTTACCCCATATTTGGAGCCAGTCGACTCCGCGATTGACTCCGCGAAGAACAGTTGCACGCAGCTTTCGCAGCTCCTATCTGTTGGAGATTCTTTGTCTGCAACCACACTTTCTTCGTCGGCTTGCAGATCCGCTCATTACCACCAGCAACCACCACTTTCTAGACGCTACTGCACATGAGAAAGGGTTTTTTTTCTGAAGGGAATTGGCCCGACAGGCATTCACTACTCACCCACACCATGCTTTTGCTGCAGCCGGGTTTGAAATCGTCCCAATGGATGTCTGGGTTGCACTCATAAGGCTCGAATCTCTCTACACAAAACCACCTGCAAGCTCTCTCTACAGACTTTCTCCCTCTCTCTACCTTTGGTCTTCTGGTGGAACCCTTATGAATGTATCCCTTTCCCCCCTTGCCTTTTTGGCTGCACAGCCTGCTTGGCATCCTGTAGATCCTGCGCCAGCTTGACCAATCATTGCGGGGTGGCCGCTCTGCACGACAGCGTTAGGCCGTCGTGCGCCTTTGAGATCATATTCATCAGTATCGTCCGTTGAGAGGGGGGCCAATCCGGAGAGTTGTTCTCCGACTCCGGATTGGTACAGCTAGTATCGTATCGGTGGGAAGAACGTCCACGGTGAGGTTAGGTCTACATGGGATTTTAATTAATTCCACAAGGAATTGGAAACAATGTTCGGAGTACGCCGTTCGGGCGTGGTATAGTATTCTTTGTCTCGCCGTTCCGGTGTAGTGGGCAGAACTTCGTTTTATTACTTACTACATCTAAAGTAATCTTTGCGCCAAGTAGATGGCCATGTGTCTTGTGGATGCGAACAACACATCTGGGCTGGACTAATTAAACGGATTCATCGTTGCATCTAGGCAGCTCTTGCATCTGGTATTGGCTCAGTTGTGCGTGGGTTTCAAGCACAGCGGCAATGCAAACCCTAGCTTGTTTGCTGACAGTGTGTCTTTGTATGTATGTAGCTGGTACCTCTGCGACCTGCTGCGGTCACCGGAAGGGCTCAAGTACATGTACTCCGAAGCCTAAGAGGGGCTACGGCGGACTGCGATCGGGTCCAGACTGGCACATACGAGCCCAGTTGCCACCACCTCTTCTTTTTCTTCCATTTCTCTCTTCTGCTCCCAAACCGCATCAGGCAATCAACTTGATCAAAGCTTTCTGCATTGAATTCAGGCGCCTTCTCCATACAAAAGCTGCAAGAAATCCGGTTCCTGGGCGCCTAATGAGTTGTTGCAGTCCGAGTTTCTAATTTTGTTCTACTATCCTTCTCCCGTTGCGGAATATCGCTTGTTGCTGTAGGGTGCATCATATCATATATCACATTTACCTTTCTACTTCTGTCTACCGGGGCGTTGAATACCTACAGCATACATACAGACATACATACATACATACATACATTAAACTCCACGCCTGCTTCTTTTTCGGCTTGCCTGCCTGCCTACTTGCCTGCAACCTACATAAGCTCCGCTATCTATCATTTTGATCAGCCCTGAGCGATTTTTTTTTCCCTCCCTCGTTGCTGCACCGTTGAGATATATTGGCGTTGAACGCGCGTTTTGGCGACCGCCCCCTTGCTGCCGGTCTCCTTCTACGGATATTCTGTTGCGGGAGGTCGCATTTCAATTGACGCATGGTGAGTGAACGACATTGGTTTTTCCTTCATTCTTTCTAGAAAGCTATTTTTTCTTGTTTCCCTCAATTTCCTTACGGTTTTGGGTCCATTCCTTCGGCCCCTTCCCTTTTTTTTTTTTTTTTTTTTTTTTTCTGTTTTGTTTTTATTGTCTTAAATCATTTTGTGTTGGCTCTGTTGTTACCCCAAGGTGCTTGTCATATTTTCGGTCGCTCCACTATGCTGTTTCAACTGCAATCCATGACGGGATATTGCTTTGGGGTCCGCCGGTCGATCGATCGATCGACCTGGTCCATACCATCATAGCAACAATCGCAGACTACCAGACAGTCATAGTGGTAGTGAGCACTACGCGAGGCCAAGACAGATGGGATATCCACAGAGCTGAGAGAGGGCCCTCTTCTCGAGTCATTCATTGTTGAAGGGCAGAAAAAACAAGCGCCAGGATCCACCGTGGCCGGTTTTATATTCCAACACCACGATGGGATTGAGTAGTTAGCGGCGGCGGCGGCAGCAACAGCAGCAGCAGCACAAACCACACACAACACGACCTTGCACCATCGAGTTTGACTGCCCCAACGCTAAACTTGCGTTGCTATGGACCCACCTTCGGCCTCACATCCAGCAGCTGGAACTTTGGATTATTACTTCATCGGCCAGAGATCCATCGCGCGTTCTGGTGCCATTCAAGACCAGCGACGGGAGCCAATTTCCATTCATGGTCTCCACCTTTTGGCCTCTCAGATCCTATTTGGGTTGCAATGGTTGCGAGTCAACCTCTCTGGGCTAGTGTCTGAGGCATGCCTTAGGGGCATGACGTGATTCTCTCCTGGTTGGCCATGCCTCTGTTACTATCTACTAGCCGCGTAGTCCTCATCCCTCCAATGTGTGTTGTGTGTGGTGCGTGAGAGTGCGTCTGTGGTTCTAGAAAGTCTGTCTGGGGTCAGTCAGTCATTGTTGCTTTCATGATCAGCGTGGAATCTTTTTCCTGCTGGCGTTCTTCCCCTTCCCAGCTTTAGTTTCTTCTTCTCTCTTTGAAGAATGAGCGAATTAGGGAAATAAAAAGAAAAGAAAAAGAAAAAGAGAAAAACCAAATTGGGAAGGAGGAGACAAAGAAATACGCAGCCCCCTCCCCTCCCTCCCTCTTTCTGTCTCTCCCAAAATGACGATTTTCTTTTTTGAACCATTTTCGACTTTCCCTGTTTTTCCTTTCCCGATTGGATTTTACTTTTACATTTTGGGAGGGGTGGGTGGCATTATCTCTTTGGGCTGCAACTGTGACTGGCTGAAGAGACCCGCCGAAGTCGGCGTGATAGGCTGGAAGTCATCCTGGGTACGATCGACCGGGAAGTCTCGTCAGCGGTGATTCGTGGTGTGGGAAGGCGAGGTTCCCATGGGAATTGCAGAGGGAGAGCATCCACTTCCAGCCAACGTGGATGGGCTCTGGAAGTGAGGAAATCTTGGGCCGCCGGTTGTTCCTGTGGGCCAGCAAATCCAGCAAATCCATCCACTTTCTTCTCGATTTTCACTTTCTGGCGGGTCCCCCACCCCTCTCTCTCTGGCTGGCTGGCTTCTCTCCACTCCACTTACTCACTTTCCTGTGTGGCCCCCCCTCTCTCTCTCTCGCTCTCTCTCTCGCTCTTTCGCTCTTTCCCCCCGGGTGCTCGACGCTTCCGTGCAGGTTCTGAGAACTTTTGAAGGGGTCCTGATCGGCATCACCTCACTCCACCCACCACTGGCCCGTCCTGCCTTGTTTCTTCCACTCTTCTCTCACTCACACTTTACTCTCTCACTCACACCCTCTGGATATGGCTGGTCCTCCTCTTATTTGAATACTTACCAGTCAATCCCCCCCCCCCCTCTCTCTTCCCTCTGCCATTCGGCTGTGTCTCCTGTGGCGTCATCTTCTTTTCTTTTCTCAATTCTCTTTACAACTATCGCTGTGCCTGGCCTTAGTCCTGTCTCTTATTATTAACAACCGTTTTTTACTTTTTCCCCCAATTACCAACTTTCCTCCTCCAATACATTCCCATCACAACCCCCGTCTTCTCTGACCCTTCTGGAAAACCGCTGCTGCTGCCTATACCCTTGCTGCGGGACATCGAAACGACTAATCAATCCTTTGTCCACCAACAGATCTCAATCCTTCACTAACTGAGGTCTTCACTTATCTACTCAACTCTACCTTACACTACTACCATCACTACCACCTTATCGCCGGGTTCTCGCTTCAGCCTTTCTACCCGCTCAGTGCCGCCGCCTCACCGTCGCGCTGTCTCTCTTTACGCTTCACCATCTGAAACACGGCTTCTCTTATCGACGAGTCTGGCCTCTCCCGGAAAGGGTGGCCACTCAACATTCAAGACTGGCGAAGTACCGGATTCACTGCCTGGGCTGTCTCGGAGGATTACAGCAACAACGAGGTGGATTTCGGGGCTTCACCACACCTGCGCCGTACCCCAGTGACCGACGCACGCTGTACGCGATGCTTAAAAAGAAGACCCTGCATCCTCCCATACTCTTCCGACACCATACTCCCAGCACCACCCCTGAGCTTTCTCCCACGTCTTCCTCATCGGACAGCGAGTCGGACGAGGACATGGACTCCTCCGGTTCGCGTCCGCTGAGTTTGACGGTTCCTCCGGGTGCTTTCTGTCCCATGCGTCCCTCATTAGATGAGGTGCTGGCCAACACTGCACCTGCCCCATACACCCTTAGTGCCTTTATGGCCTATCTCTCGCAGAACCACTGTCTGGAGACCCTGGAATTCACTCTGGAGGCCAAGCGGTACCGGGAAACACACGATGCCTTGAGCCGCCAGCTGAATGAATCGCCCATCGTCACCGACTGCACCGGCAGCCAGCATCTGCGTATGCTCTGGCAGCGACTGTTGACCGCTTACATTCTGCCCGGATCTCCACGAGAGATCAACGTCTCCAGCGAGGTCCGCGATGACATCCTTCGACACGCCAATCTTCCTAACCCGCCGCTTCCCGAAACCCTGGACGCTGCCGTAAAACTCGTCCATGATCTGATGGAGGAGTCGATCTTTCTGCCGTTTCTCAACTCGCATGCTTCGACCGCTCACGTTTTGCCGCTATCGGAGCCGCTGTTTTCTCAGGAGGACGATATCACCGTCGTATCGAACTCCAGCTTCGACGAGCACACGGCCAGTCGGGGCCGATCGAAGAGGAGACGGCAGTCTCCCCAGTCTTCCAAGGATCTGGGATCGCCGGTGTCCGTCGGCTCTCCGCCTAGCCGCTCGAACTTCTCCTTGAGTGCAATGACTTCCATGGGTAAGGTCGGCCATCGGACTTTGGGACAGGTCTCCAACGCCAGCGGAGATTCCGGGTCTGGGGCCTTGACTGATGACTCTGGAAGCTTGCAATCGAGTGCCAGTGCAGGCGAACCAATGACACCGCCGACTACGCCGCCCTCCAGCGATCCTCACTGCATGCACCTGGCCCACAGCCCGAAGCGCACCGACAACCCATGGAAAAAGATGGGACTGAAGTTGGGCTTCAAAAAGCGCTCGGGCCACGGAGGCTCCGGCAACCAACATTTCAAGTTGTCTGGCATGGACGAATGACTGGCCGTTCAAAACCGGCCGACAACAACCTTACCGAAAACCCACCCCATCTGGCAGAGCTTCAAAGCTCTGATGATGTCCTTTATCACTCACAAGCCTTCTTCGCTCCGAATTCTCGCCGGATCGCCAAAAATGGCATCCTGATCTCTACTCCTCTCACCGCATCGGCTAGACCGCATGATCCGATCTGCATAACCTGATACCGCATATATGATTGATCTCTCGGTTATTGAGCGAATATGTCGCATTGACTCACTGACTACGAGTGGACGGTGTAATGCATGTGCATTATGATTTAAGCATATTCCGGCGTTCTGTCTCATGTTCTTTCTGCCTTTTTTTCTTCCACTTGCATCGAAGCAAGCGACCCAGCGTGCATCATTCCATTTGTCATCATCTAAAACCATATAGACTTGGGGGTTTCCAAAACGGGATGGTGGTTATCTGTTATGTCTCTTGGCGTTTTGTGTGTGTGTATCCATATTGAATTTCTCACAAGGGGGAGTGGTGTGGGGTGTCGAAGGGACATTCTGTTGATGTGTGCGTGCATGGGAGTTGTTTCTTATCACCCTTTTGTCAAAGGGCATGACTGCATTTTTTTCTTTCTCCTCCGTGTTTTAGTTAGCATCACACTTTGCATCAGCATTAGCATTAGCATCACTGTGTACTGGTCGATAGATACCCATGGATTGGATGCTTTTTATCTTCACCTTGTTCCGGGCTGAAACGTAGACTGTCTTGTCATAAATTGATCAGTATTGAAATCTTATCTCGCCCATCAACAATGCTCCTTCTACATATTCAATACCTATGTATACATCGTCACAGAGCATATATGACCTATTATAGAAACACCCATGTTACTAAACTACACAAGAGTACACTAACTAAATATCCAGCCATAGACAAACAGCTATGCTAGCAATGTTACACAACGACCCTCCTTCCCGACCTCGTCTCCAACGCAGCAATGTTCAAATCCCAGCCATTGTCCGTCAACACAGTCGTATACCCATCAAACCTCGACCCTTCATTGAGGAACTCCAACGTCCGGTGCAGTACATCCATAGTAGCTTCAATCTGGTCCGAGGTACTAATAAAATCCGCTGCTGGTGGTGCTGCTGCTGATGACGTCGACAAAACCCTTGCAGCCAGCAAGGCATGCGCCCATGCTTTGAGCTGGGATTGACTTGTGGTAGTGTTCTTGAGTAGGATGTTGGCGTGCCATGTTGGGGTCTTCTTACTACTACTGCTGCTGCTGTTGCTGCTGGTGAGGTAGAGAATGTAGTCTTCTTTGCTGAAGAGGGTGGCGAGTTGGGGCATTGGGATTGGGGTTCGGAGAGATTTAGAAGACGTGGTGGATAGTGCAGCGGAAGAGAGAAATTGTTGCAGAGAGATGCCTATACGACAGTAACCGAGGGTATGAGGGGGAGTTATTGTTGAGGAGGACCAGCGGAGGATGCCGTCTGTTTCGAAGATTTTCTCTTGCTTGGAGACGTGGGCTGGGGTTAGGGTCTTCCAGGAGGGTGGTTGGTGGGAGTGTTGTGCGGGGGATTGGTGTTGTTGTTTGGTGGATTCTGGGTGGAGGAGTTGTGTGACGTCTGGGTCGGTGTTCAGGAGAGTTGAGAAGACGATGTTGGCTCGCTGTCTGTTGAGACTGGTCATTTGGACGGAGCGGACGGCGGCATAGTTGAGACTGAGGTGCAGGGCTAGAAGCATCAAGAGGCATATCCAGGTTGTGGAGAAGTTGGTCACGCGGGAGACGACGAAGGAGCCGACCTGTGAGGTTCTTGGTCAGGTTTGTTCTGCTGGAGAAGATGAGTTGTAGGAGTTAGGGTATGTCTGGCTTACGAGCATGCCGATGAGGGATATGATTGTCTCTTGCGATGAGTCTTTCTGTTGACAAGAGGTTAGTGGTCGTATCCCAGGCGCAGGGTTCGAATAATGATTGATTCACTTACCGCATTGACTTCAGCTAGGTTCCCCCAGCGAGAGAAGTGCGCACTTAGACTCGCCTTGGAGCTTCCTCCTGCTACTCCGCATAGAGCCCGAAGGACACCTGCTGTGCTGAGTACGGTGACTCGAGGAGCACCTGCTGGGATCATTGGTGAGAGACAGTCGAGGATCATTGCTAGATCGTTGAAGATGTCTGCTGCCAGCCGGTACATTTTGCATTCTGGCTCGAGAGCAGTACCAACCCGGTGCGCGAAGAGAATCGTCGCGATCCGGCCAGAGGAATCTTGGAGGATATGCAGCAATAGGGCTGCGGTGGGAGAGGCATCGGCGTTACCAACTCCAACACCTTAGGGCTGTTAGTATGGGTAGGTAGTCTGTGGACCAGCTGTTTGGTGCGAATAGGTCATGTACCGACCTTGCAGCACTGCTCTCGAGGATAAGAGACCGGCGATCGAGCTGCTGAAGGCTTGGAGAGAGTCCTTCGTGGATTAGCCGTCTAGTCTGATAGGGGGCAAGTATGGTAGTGCTTCGGCATGGTGTGCTTAACGCTTTCCACATACAAACAATTGGTATCTGTATGAATTAGTAGAGCCCAATGCTAGGGAGAGAGATCAACAGTATCTTACGGCGCATAATCATCCGTGACACTGTGGGGATATCCAGCAGGAAGGAAGACCTCAACCAGAAAGTCTAGAACGCTCTTTGAAGACCAAGCTGCCAGAGTAGTGGAGGAAGCATGCTACCAAGCAAATGGTTAAATCGAGATGACAGCTTTGCAGCCTAGCACTCAGATTGGGTTCACATTGGAAATCACGTACTGCCACATCCACGCGTCCCCAATTCTCTCTATGCTTCTTGTCCTGCTCAAGACGTGCAGGACCCGCTGCGGGCTCGGAGTAAATGTAAGTTGCGGTAGGGTGATTAACTTCGTCCACCTCGGTGAAGGTTATTGCGGTGCTGTCGTCTTTAAGGGCCATGATGTGGCGCGTGTTCCTTTTGGTCTCGATGAAAGTCCCGTTTGAGACCTGACGCGATGTTAGAGACGCGTAGCTCGATGGAAGCTGTATAGAAAGTTGTTGCGTGGCAGGAGCTGACGCTAAGGATACGGGCACGTGTCATGACATCTGTCCGCTGCAGTCCGGCAGAATCTCGGGGGGACGACCAGTAGCTCTCTACAGTAGACTACGTGACTGCAAAAAGTTATGTTGAATTGATTGATCGTATTCAAGGTCTCCTCGAGCCTCAGTATAGTACTAATAAACCTCAGGGAAGAACTCAGACAAAGCCCCGCAAACCGAGGATAGTCCAACATGCAGCAGACTTTTGGATCCGAATGAAACAACCATCTATGCACAGAAATCCGAAGATATCTCAGCAAGCCCCAGCCAGACAACAAGAAAGCATCCGTCATGCGTCGCGCCCCAAGTACAAGGAATCCAAACCGCTAAGCTCCGAAACAAGCAACCACCAGCGCCGTGACCGAAAAGAAAAGCATAAAGAAAAGCAATCGAAGAAGTGCAGGGACGGAAGCAGCTCCTGGTTGGACAATGCCAACATACGACCCATCACCAGTATGCGACGGTGCTCCCAGCCCCTGATTATAGTACCATCCAAGTTCCGATGATGCGAGACGAACCAGGCCCCACAACTCGCCTGTTACTCCATGGTTGAATTGGGAGAACAACGGCTGCCACGGCCCCATGCCGATGGTCGTACTCTATCTTAACATGAGAGTATTCGTCACATCACCAACCCGTGACCGCTACCGTTGCGTCATCTCTCGTTGAGTGAGATCCTGGAATGATCTACGCGAACAGGCTGGCACCGCCGGTCTCAATGGCCTCGATCTCAGCCTCGGACCAGGGAAGGCGGTGGAAACGGGCAGGAAGCTCGTCGCGGTCGAAGAATTCACCCTGCTTGGGCTGAACGGGGCCCAGAGAGGCACCAGCGCTGCGGCCAATGCCCTGAGAGAAAGAGGCACGGCCAAGGGGGCCGTGCTGCTGAGCCTTGATGCGGTAGGCGGCGAAAGAGTCCGGGAGGATTCCGGAAGGAGAAGCGGGGTGAGGACGGGGGGTGTGGTCAACGGACTCTGGAGATGGGTCATGTTAGACAAAGAGGCAGGCGCGTAGAATTAACGGGTGGGAAGGAATACATACGAGGCACGGAACGCCGGCCGAGGAACCGGATGAGGGGAGTGCGGGCAGCGCTGCGGAGAGCAAAAGTGGCACGCATTTTGTATAGTAGGAGTAAGGAAGATAGGGTTATAGATTATAAGGTAGTCGTAAGGATGAAAAGCGAGGAATCGAGGGAAACCGCTAGTGTCCGACGCGACCGAATTAAGCGATTAATAAGTTGGAAATGGAAGAGGAAGCTTTTGGAAGGCAGGCGGATTCTCCACGACAAGGACACAGAAGGCCTATATAGTTTGAGGAAGGAAAGAGGCAAGGACTGTACAGAAGGCTGTCTGGACGAAGGGAAAAGAGCAGGAGGAGAATTGGAAAGACTGGTGGAGGGGAAGGGGAAGAGAAATGAATGAGGAGGAGGAGGAGAGGGAAAATGCCGACGAGGGTCGGAGCGGAAGCGAGGGTGTGGGTTTTTGATAAGCCCAGCTTTGGTGGTATGTATGGAGTAATACGGGTTATTAACGAGAAACCCGCCGCCGGATTTTGTGATCCGGCCTTTGCCTTCCACCATTCCATCAATCTGGCACGATTACTACTCCTCAACGTCTGGTTCTATGCTGCTTGTGGTATGATCAGAGACTATTCGGTCGAGTCGGTACTAGCTGCTCATTGCCAATTCGATAGCGACGACATCATGTTCCCCATCTTTTCCCCAAATCAGATATTAGACTGATAGTGTTAGGATGATTGACACCTGATGATTACTCCCGACGGCCCCGATCCTTGCCCAAACCCGCATCCCCGGTGAAGGAAGACCCGTGCCTGACTGGTCAGTGAGTTTGGATTTGGGGGACCTGCATCGGTGCTTCCTTCTAATCGCCTTTCCTCCCGACGCTTTTCAACTGCACGTCTCTTTTCGGCTTCCCCTCATTCGTAGGATTCCCCGGAGGACGTTATGATGCTCCAGTTGGTGTAACAAACCCTCTCTTCTTATCTTAGATCATCTGAGCGGAGAAACATCACAAGTACGTAGTCTGGCGTGATCCCCCTCACACATGCACATACGTACACCCTCACTCTTATGTAAGGCTTAGAACTGTACTTTTTACCTTCCGGAATCTGACCCCCGCAAGCCCTGGGAAGGAGGGCAACTCAACCTCACTATTCACTAATAGTAGATTCCTTCCCCTCCCCTCCCCCCATCTTGGCATGTGCTCGGATGAGTCTACCCCAACTAGCCCTGTCCAAAAGGGGAAATTTTCAACACAAGCAATTTTAGAGGAACAGGGAAAAAGGAAAAAAAAATCAGAAAGTTTAAATCTCAGAAAATCTTTTAGTTCTAGTTGGTTTGTTGTCTTCATAAACTTTGCCTTCTAGCATTTGCCGCTCACACTGAAATCCCTGGTTTACTCACACCGGAGTTGCAATCGCGTGATATCACATGATTGTTGTTATCTCCCCACGCGTTTTCCGCCCAGCCAGAAAGTGGATTGTTGTTCAATTATTGTGTTACTACTGAATTATCAAGACTTGTCTGGCAGTTACCGTACCATAACAATATTACTTACCGGCCGGATCAAAGTGGACACTCGGAAGGTGTCTCCGACCCGACTTCACCCGTGCTTTTTGCCTGATTTGCGGCTTTGCCTGATGTGTTCCGTCTTTCCCTGAGCAAAGCTGGCCGGAGCTAAGGGAGCTACAGACAGGCTTGAACGAACTCCCGAATTACTATTCTTATTCGTCTCGATTTCTACCCCGGTTCTTCCTCTTCTGATTATGCATGAGCTTCTGCTCTTCGCCTCGGTCCCCGCGCACCAGCATCATGAGCTCCTTCAACAGTTGGCCGGGTTGACGGCCATGCAACCCCGTCACCGCCTGGAAAGACGCTTGGTTTTCAAGGCCTACCGCAAGCCAGGTTTAACCACCACCCGGGTTGGGGCCAGTCAAGATCTGCAGGGTGTCGAATTGCAGCGCCTTAATAAAATGCTCAATGGCGGCATGTTCTATACCCAAGTAGTTGGCCCCGTCGCCAATGCCGACTTTGGCGGGAACCCTTCCTCATCTGGAGATCCCGATGTCTCCATGTCCGGATTGGAGGAGAAGCCATCGTCGTCTTCATCGTCTTACAGTTACGAGGACCAGCCCTGGAAACTTGAATTCAGAGATATTCCCGAGGCAGGCACTCGATCCGCCGTGACTGCTCGTCTAATGGCCAGTGCCACGCTGCCTAAAGGTGATATCACGGCGCCCATGAATGCCTGGGGCTATAGGTTAGTAGCATCCCGTACTCCTCGGCGCATATCCAGCTCCTTCGTATTGTGATTGGTCCTAGTTAGCTGACAAACTGGGTTCAGCTTTGTCACCGAGTACGTGGTGGAAGGGGATGTCTTTGTTCTCAATGACATCGTTATCTTCCTACACCGTGTCCTGCTTTACCCGACTGGGACGCAGGAATCACATGGACCTCGTCGGCAGCTGCCTGCTTATCAGGAACTCTCACCGCTGGAACGGACAGGGAGCTATGTCCTGCAAGCTGCTATCACCGTCCAGGACGGCGGGAATCAGGAGATGATGAGGACGGCTTCGCAGCATTTGTTCGGGCTTCGCGAGCAGCTCAAGTCGGCCGTCCGTCTAGAGATGGCGGATCGGCTGTCTCTGGATACGCGAGCGAAGTAATCATGTATTATCATATCTTTTTAGCCGTGCTATATACCCCGGAGTTGATGGCTCTCAGTAGATAAATCATTGGAAATTTAAATTTGTCATTAGGAGCCTTAAAAACATAGTGCTGAGATCTTCTCTGGAAAAGCAAACTTTGACTGAAAACATACACCTCACTTGATTCAATTGATGTCAGCGGTGCAGTTGTAGCATCCATCAACTGTATGGGTGCAATGAGCCGTCAATATAAGCATGTGACTTCGCGAAGCTCAGGCGCGCGTCAGCGCGTCGACTTCCGCTTTTGAATCCGACACCAGTTCGAGCCATCCAGTCGCAGTCTACGTATCTCTCTTTCGGCTAGATTCAGAACCGCGGTACCCGGTAAACATATTCAAGATTATTTCCAGACTCCAGTATCTCAGGATGGCCGGCGGCGGGGCGTGAAACGTACAGCTTCCCCCACTCGAGCTATTTCGCCGCCTCCACTCAAAAGGAAGGTTGAGTCTACCATAACTAGTGAGGCATACCTATTCTGTTTTCGTACATTTCTATACTAACAGGGTTAATAAATACTAGAAAAAGCTGTCTCCTCCTTCTTTACTCCGGCATCTCAGAAAAAGCCCGAACAGATCACTTGGCGCATTGTCAATAACAGTGCGGTCATTGGCAAGTATACTTCGGAACGCGGTCACAAAAATAGTACAGAGAAGCCTAGGATCGCGGCATTTGACCTGGTCAGTTGAAAACCAGACCGTTCAGCAAATTCACGGTATATCATTGCACGAACTCGAGACTGACTAGGTCATCGCACCTAGGATTCAACGCTCGTCTCGACAGCCTCTGGAAATACTTTCCCCAGGAATGGGTCAGATTGGAAGTGGTGGCATGATACAGTACCTGGGAAACTCAAGGAATTGAACGAGAATGGGTATGTCGTAGGTTGGCTTATAGTTCCTTGATCGGATTGCTTCCGGACAACAGGATATTGATCTCTCTTCTGTGCAGATACTACGTGGTGGTCGTAACGAATCAAAAGAAGATCAGTCTCAAGAAAGATCTTAAAAAAGGCCAGAGCGACTCCAAGAGCCTTGTCAATTTCAAGGAGAGGGCGTCGGCTGTCATGAAGCAACTGGACATCCCTCTCAGTGTATATGCGGCCACAGAAGATGACGAATATAGGAAACCCAGGACAGGTCTATGGAAGGAGATGCTCGACGACTATGATTTCGATGTGTCGGGGGTCAATCTGGCAGAGTCCATTTTTGTTGGGGACGCTGCTGGACGGCCGAACGATCATTCCATGGTCGACCGGTAAGGCTGGCCTTTTGAAGCACACTCACGGACTTGATACGCTAACGGCGTTTCAAGCGGATTTGCTCTCAATGTTAAAGTACCCTTCAAGACGCCCGAGGAGTTCTTCCTCAATGCTGATCCAGAGCCACTCGTGGAACCGTTCGATCCGACAATATACCTGCAAGCAGAGCCAACTGACGACGGTGAGTCTCAATGCACGGGGTGATTGTGAATCGACCATCAGAGTACCCTATTGACAACTTGTCTTGCATGATGCAGTGGCGCCACCTTTCTCTCGTCAGAGTCCTCTCGAGCTGGTGATATTCTGCGGCAGCCCTGGTGCGGGCAAATCCTCATTCTACTGGGAATATCTAGAACCGCTGAAATACGAACGAGTCAACCAAGACCTGCTCAAAACTGTACGTTTCCTTCATTATATCATCAGCCCTTATACAGGTTACTTCCTCCCAACACCCCCTTCTACGCCTAGCCCAAAAGTGGCAGGGGCTTCGCTCGCGCAGCAGATAGACGCCTCAACGACCAACGCACATCTATGTACTACCACGATTGCATAATCTATCATCTAACCAGCCGTTTAACACAGCGCCCTAAGTGCATCAAAGTGGCAAAGGAACACCTTGCAGCCGGAAGATCCGTGGTTGTCGGTACGTGAACGTTATGAACGGGGCAGTCTTTCCCCAAGAGACCAACCCACCCACCCTTGCATTGACACTCCGACGGTCTACAACGTCTATTTGCCGGGCTCGAGTCTAGCCAGGCTACACCAACCCTAGCCCATATTGCGATCCATCCCCCCCTCTTCCTCAGTAACCACGGTGTTATTGCAAATGCACGAACGGTTGGATTTTGTCGCTGATCAGATGCACAGACAACACCAACGCCGACCCGGAAACCAGATCCCACTGGGTAGAAGTCGCTAAGGAATTCAACGTCCCGATTCGTTGTGTCTATTTCACAGCTTCCCCGGCCCTCTGCCGGCATAACAATGCGGTCCGTGCCGCAAATCAAACCTTGGTAAGTCCGTGCGAGATGAAGATGCGCGTGCACTGCATCCCCATTGTCCCCTCTTCCCCTCCCACCCAAACCTATAGCTTGTCCTCTCCCCATTCGAGTCGATCGAAGGGGAGTAGGGTGGTGGTTATACCAACTCCACCCATCAATACTATCTTCCCCCAACGGTCACACGTGTATCGTGACCTATTATCAGATCATCAGACACACCTATACCCATACATGCATACATACACCATTCCATTAGTTCATGTACATTCAACACTAACCCTCCATCCAATACCCAGAACCCCGAATCACGCACCCTTCTCCCCGGAATCGCCTTTGGAGATTTCCTCCGCCGATTCAAAGAACCGTCGATGGAAGAAGGCTTCCAAGACATCATCCGCGTGGAATTCCGCTTCCGAGGAGACGAGACCGCCAAAAGGTTATGGGGCCAGTACTGGGTGTAAAGACAAACGATTCTATGTAGTATCTAACCGCCCAACAAACTCATTAGCATTCATAGAACAGTGTCCCATCTGAAAGCAATCATGGGAACACAGCTTAGCTTAGCTTAGCTCAACTAGACTACCACCTATAATAAACAAGTCATGCTACCTACTACTACTGCTACTACAGCTGCTGCTGCTGCTGCCTGCCTACGTAGTCAATTCATATGCAGCAACGGGCTAATCCAGCTCTGTTCTAGGCGTTCTTTTACCATCTATCTATTTATCTACCTAGTCTAGCGGGATTAAAATACATGCATGCATGCACGCATGCATGACTGAAGAAAAAAGAACAATCAATGTAATTGACCGAACGAAGCGATCTGCCAGACCCTACCTAGCTAGCCACCAGCTAATTAACGGAAGTACTTAAGTTTAGGCGACATGTGCGCGGTACGAGTTACTCGATTCGGGTAGCTGTCGAAGGGAGGGGGGGGGGGGAGGCGGTCGACCCCGCGCATGTATGCATCAGGCGACTTGTCTGACCTGAGTCTGACCCTGGCTGGCTGGCTGGCTGGCTGGCTGGTCCTTTGAGGGGAAAGGGGGTAAAGTAACTGTGGACTACGTACATACTACTACTGGGGGGGAAACAAAGTACACTGCATATGCATTGCATGTGGGCAAGCAAGGGCGGGCAACCATAATTATCCGTTGGGAACTGAAGGCATCATGACTAGTTATAGTGGGTGATAGGTGAGTCATAAGTAGTACTAATATGTAGTTTATATGTAGGTCTAGTTAGGTAGTATCTAATAGTAGTATCTGTATATATACACTGGGGTGTACAAAACGCGAACAGAGAACAGGCATGTATCTATAATAGGTATATGCTTGTGACTTTTTGTGGAAGGGGAAGCAAAACGTAGAATTTCAAGTAGGATAAATGAATGAAGAACCATGCCTTGGGGTATAAGACAGAACAGAACACCAGGAAGCGCCCTTGCAATGGTTTCATTTCCCTTTTCGCTGGGTAACCCAGCCACTTTTGCTTTCAACAATCGTAATTCTTCTTCTGCTTCATGCTCCCCTCTTTCCCCTGTCTTTGCATCCACAGACTTTCCCCTCTCCAGTCATTAGACTGGTGCAACCCAACGGTTACTTTTTGTGCCAAGCACAATGACGCAAGGAATGCATCGCCGGCAGAGAGAACACACACAAAGGAGATGCTGGGCAGTGTACAGCATTATCAATACATGTTGGCGCGAACAAGTATTTAACAACAGGGGAAGAGGGTACATATGCAGAGAGATCAAACATTAAGGAACGGACTGCACTCTGCGAGTCAGTAGTCGCAGGTGCACAGGTCATCAGACATCATTATGCAATCACAGATCATGAACAGAAACAGGGTAAAAAAAAAACAAAACATATCCGTCGAAACGTGTATACTATAGGAGAGGCATAAGTCATCACTCGCTGAATCAATCGTTCGAGAGGCGTTAAGAAAAAGTCGTAAGATGGTATACATCGTAAGCCTCCCGCAGTCTGTCTATGGTCATTAATTGTTTCCATGTTCGTGTCAAGGCGGTCAAATCAGGAACGTATGACGAGGTCCTGGAAGAACTTGACAAAGTTGCGTTTCAACGAACGGGTGCGACATAGTCCGGATCCATTCGCTGCTGGAGCGATTTTCATAGGACCCACGATCTCGCCATCGCCTAGCTCGGGGAACTTGTTGTCGTGAAGGCGAGGAATTTTGACCGGGTCGCAAGGGTCACAGTGAGACTTCATCAAACTAAGACGGGGTCCCTCTGTCACTTCTAGCTCAGATAGCATCGCCTCATGATGGCGGCGCCATTCGCGATTGATGGACTCCCACTTCTCTTCGGTGAGCTTGTAGATCGTGGAAGTAACACCATAATGTTCGCCAGTCCGCACGAGATGGCGCATGAAGTTGCACTGAGCCAGGTCCCAATCTGCGCGCAGCTGCCCAAAAGCTCCCAGGTCACAGGTCTCAGGTGCATAAGGCTCCGGCTGGATGGTAAAGTTGGCATGACCGAGTCTATTTGCCCACTCGTCATTTGGGTCGGAGAGCGTGAATGGAGGCGCATCTCCCGAGACCGTCCGCACCGTACTGGCTCGTGGACGATTAAACGATGCGACAGATGGCTTGGACGAGAGGGGTGGCGAAGGCAAGCCTGCCAATCGCAAATCGGCGACAGCGCTGCAGACAACTGGGCCGTCATCTACCATATTGTCGGCTACTGAAGGAGATTGTAACGGAGAATGGACGCGAGACGCGGTCTGATAGGATGATTCATCGCCCATAAACGGTGGCAGTAGGGGAGTCGTTGCTTGAGGGGCCGAATCCTCTTCCTGGCTGTACCGGTTGGCTTTGCTGATATCGATAGGTTGCGTCCCGGCTTCGCTGATGGCCTCCTCAAAGATAGTCCTGGCGGGGGATGGAGGAACCTGGATTGAATTGACACGAGTGAAAGAACCGGTAGTGGGACTGGCTATGGCGGATGATGCTGAATTAGTGCGGGAACGCAGCTGTGTTGCGAATACATCTGCACCGTCCGGCCCATCGGAGGCACGTTTGGACTTCCAGCGAGTGGAGATGGTGGAGATTCGGGAGCCGATGCGCGAAAGACCCCGGGCGGAGATACTATCAGAGCGTCGATTCCTGGGGGAATGTGCAGAATCCATGCCGGCATCCGTTAGATCGTAGCTGTCAGAAGCATCGAACGAAGCGTAGTATGAATCCTCGGCGACCGAGAGACCTTGGTCAAAGTGTTCTGTGGACAGGAATCGATTAGCGAACGAGGAGACGGATATCGGAGAATAAAGCAGGAGAAAAGGAAAAGCACGGGGGCTGGGAGCAAGGGCAAGTAACATACGGAAATAATCCTCCTCGAGGTCCCTGGGCTGAGACCCACAGGGTTCTTCCTTCACTCCTGTCAAGGGATTCCGCGACGGGCTCTCCATCGAGTTTCCGTGCCCTGGGGATGAAACCAGGGACGAAACCGAGCTGGAAAAACGCGTGTGGCCCTTGGCAGAGAAAAGAGACACAGCGGGTGAAACAGGCGTGGAGGAGGAGGTGGTGGTGGTCCAGGGCGACAGAGGCTGGCGAGATGACGGGGACGACTCAGCCATGGCTTCCAAACTATCGCGCCGTCTGGTATCTAGAAACTGGGCGGGTTTTAACATGATGGACGAGTCAAGACTACTAGCGTGGTAGTCAGGCTGGCGGTGACTGAAGATCGCGCAGATGGTGAGGCTTCCACTTCACGTGCCGGAACAGGGCGAAACGGACGTGAGGAGGAACAACGCGAAACGCAGGGGAGGACAGAACGGAGTCAATTTGAAGGCGGACGGAACATCATCCGGTGTTCGATTGATTGCCCAGACCGGCGGGGGAAAATTCTTTTTCTTTTTCTTTTTCTGTTTGTTTGAACTACCAAGAAAAGGCGGTTCAAAGAACTGAGAGGGGAGAGGGGGAGAAGGAAAAAGAAAGAACGATCGATCGGACCAAAGAGATGCCACGAGCCCCGGGAAGAGCGCCTTTATTGTTCACGAGGAACAAAGTTGGTCTGTGACGACGTGGCGTGGCGGTGGAATCGCGAGATTGCCTTGCAGTAACAGAAGCAGCGACAGGCTCTGATGAACAGAGAAGAGATGGAGAAAGCGCAACTGACTGGCTTTCTGACTGACGCTGACTGCTTGAGATTGATTGATTGACTGACAGGCTTGGCCCGGATTGAAGAAGTACGGCCTGAAGGAAGGAGACGCTGAGAATCCGTCCGCGCTGGTAGGGCAGGCAAGACGTGGAGCCTGTCGCAGCACCCAGTCAACGAACAACTGGCCGGGATTGTTCGTGAGGCCCAAAAGGACGCGGCTGACAGCTCAGTGGGCCGCAGTCAATCGGAGGCTGATGATTGCGGTGAGGTTACAGGATCCGACTCAAGGGGGGGGGTGGGAGGTTGGAGGTAGACAGAGAGGATATTGAAGGAATGCTTGCGGAGGGGAGAAGAAAGGGCGTTTTAGGAATCTAGGAAATAGGAATAGGATGAGAAGATTTGATGTGAGAGGATACAGTAAGAGAAGAGAAGAAGAAGAAGAAGAGTCGAGTAACTGATGAGGGGGCGAGAAGAGGGGAAGGATGAGGAGAAGAATGAAAGAGATCTGGGAGCACAGACAAAGCACGTATAGGCAAATATCAACAATAACAACAATGTCTACAACCCAGCGCAAGAGTGTGAGCGAGCGAGCGAGAGAATGCGTGTGTGTGTGTGTGTCAGGAATGTTGCTTCATTATTGATAGCTAATATTCTACACGCCGCGATGCGATGAAAATCTTCTTGTGACACTTGACAAATTAGACCGGTTTTTTTCTTTTTTTTTGACAGCATCCAGTCGACAATTTTCCTTTAGAACGTTGCCCCAGTTGATCCATTGGATCGCAGTCTTAGCCCATCGTCACTAAATTCTCCTTCTATCGGAGCTATCTAGCCTGCTGACTGGGCCCAATTTTTCCCTGTCGACCCAGCCATCTGACAGGCCAGTTTTAGGGCTGTCGATGGGCAAAAAATAGAAAAAAGAAAGGAAACAAGGAAAAGATTTTTAGAGGAGAGAAAAAAACCAGAACCCGAGGAACCAGTTAACCACAGTCAGGATGATCGTCGGGTTTACACTAACTTAGACAGGCCTGTGAGGGCTCCGTTTCGCTCCGTGGCTGGGGAACCATGGATCGGGCCTCAGTGGCCATGGCTCGCAATTGTTCTTTGGGCTTCTGTGGCCATCGTGGGTCGGAGAAGACACGCGGTTGAATGGCTACTCCGGAAAGTAGTAAGTCGGTAGTAGTGGTAGTGTTCGTATGTACTAATCCGTGAGCAGCTCGGCAACTGAGTCGACTGGGATGGTTCAAATAAGAACTTGTATCGAATGATGAATCCCAATTTGCAGTTGTGAGTTGGTATAGTGTGTGTGGGTGTGGATGGTGAATGTCTGAATCCTCCCTCAGACAGGTTTCAACGGCTGCACATCGGCGCCGTCTCCAACACAGCAAGCGAGGATGGAGACGGACAGAGAAGCCGGACGAACAAGGGAACCCAGCGAGGGTAGTGGGGACTGGAGAGGAAGTTGTCTAGACTCTGACCGACTCGACTGGTCCAACACAGAGCATCCATTCCTTTACTGCTTGTGAACGCGCTGTGCGACCCCTCAACCCCGTCGTCATACCCCTTCAGGGACCAAGTAGAGTCCCCGAAAGTACGACGACCTATCAACCATCCTCTCCCACATTATAGATTTGACATCGGACCAGTCCCGACGGAATAGTAGGTTGGATTAAAAGGGAGGGAAGACAGCAGGGTGTTGTGGGAATGAATAGTTTGCAGTGGCCGGAGCTGTTGTGCTTCAATGCGTGAGGGAACACAAGAGAGATTGAGAATCTCGCCGTGGCACTGCTTGGGTACTGGACCGCGCCCCCAGTTCTGATGATGATGATATTATTTTCTACCTTCCTGTTATGATGACTATTGTTTCTGTATCAACTAACTAGTAAACTTCCTACTATACAGTAGAAAGCGACAGCCAAGTCAGCGGTGGGGACGAGGTAGAACAAGAATGGGATCCCTCAACTTGCCTTCTAGTTACAGTAAGTTCTGATTAGTGATTTCTCTTCTCTCTGTGTGTATTGTGTGAGAATTGTGAGCATTCAAAGGTCTGGTGCCGACGTCAGATCCACATGGCTTCAGCGCCAACCGACCGGGAACCTTGCCTCCCTCAACTCTGATGTTCTCTTCCTTGGTTCAGTCTAGCTCGACCGCAACAAGAATGCTATTCGAACGGGTGGAAGTCCGGCGCTGTTCCGCGGAAAACTCCAACGGTAAGGGATCTTGGCGCCATGCTTTGTGAGCATATCTGTTGACGGCCGGCAATGACGGTCGGGATGTTTTGTTAGTTGCCGCCTGTTCCAATCCCTCACTACTTCATTCTCAAGGATGCATGATGGCAATCGGACAAAAAGTGCTGTATAGTTGTGTTCAGTGCACTGCGGAAGAAAGGGATTTCCAGGGACGTCATTCCGTCAATTCTCGAGGAGATTTAGGTATTCTTGACGAGTCGGCCGACTGCAGAAGTTAATTGAGCGGATCGTTTCTATTTCCAGTTGATTCTACATCATGATGTTGGTTGGTGGAGCACCAGGTCCAAGCAGGACCCTTCGTCGCCCTTCTGTGCATCTAGCAAGTAAAAGTACTGTGTACTGTGTGTATGCAACATAGATGCATCCTTTTGTATCCTGCTGGTGATCTATACAACAATCCATCTTACAGATAGATTCATTTACGTACTAGAAGGAATGGCGTGACCAGACACTAACCCTCAATTAGGCAGGTCCAGACCGACTGACTCACCCCGGCCTGAATGCTGCCTGTATCCTCAGGCAGCAATGTCTTATCTCCAAATCGCGCTTCAATTGATCCTGCATTCCATTGACTCCTCATCCCAGCATCACAAAACAATTCTTCCCCATCCCTGTCCCCCTCGTCAGTCTCATCAGGCCAATTGACCTCCCATCATCCATCCAGGGAATGCCTCTACCCTTTCCCACTCTCCCTTAGCCACCTGGAACCATGAAATCCCCCATCTCTCTTCTTGCGGCCGTCGGCGTAGCCTCGGCTGCCTCCCCGCAGACCCTCTTGTCCCTCGCCTCCACCGCGTCCGACATCATCGACGCTTCGCCGTTCCTCTCATTCCACCGCGACATCGTCCAGATCCCCTCCGTCTCTGGTAACGAGACGGCCGTAGGCACCTTCGTGGCGCAATTCCTCGAATCGCACAACTTCACCGTCATCAAGCAGCCCGTCCCCTCATCCTCCAAAGGCGACCCCAACCGCTTCAACATCTTCGCCTACCCATCCACCTCTCCTTCCCAAGACCGCCCTGAGATCCTTCTGACCAGCCACATCGACACCGTACCCCCCTTCATCCCCTACGGGCTCCACGATGACGCAAACAACAACTCCAACATCCTCATCTCCGGCCGCGGCACCGTAGACGCCAAAGCCAGCGTCGCCGCCCAGATCTTCGCCGTCCTTGATACCCTCGAATCCAACCCATCCGCCAGTCTAGGCCTCCTCTTCGTTGTCGACGAAGAAGTCGGTGGCCTCGGCATGCGCACCTTCTCCGACAACTCCACTCTCAACCCTTCCCCGTCCCCCTACCACACTGTCATCTTCGGTGAACCCACCGAGCAGGCCCTCGTCGCCGGTCACAAAGGCATGCTGGAGTTTCCCATCATTGCAACTGGCCAGGCCGCTCACTCTGGATACCCTTGGCTCGGTAGTAGCGCCATCTCCGCCCTCCTGCCCGCCCTGTCGCGGGTTGATCATCTAGGCAAGATCCCAGAAGCGGAGGGCGGACTTCCCGCGAGCGATAAATACGGCGAAACAACCGTGAACATTGGGCGCGTGGACGCTGGCGTTGCGGCCAACGTAGTGCCCTCGTCCGCGATCGCTGAGGTGGCGATCCGTCTGGCGGCGGGGACGCCCGACGAGGCGAGGGACATTGTTGCACGTGCGGTGAGAAATGCCACTGGTGGTGACGAGCATGTGTACTGTGACTTCGCTGCGTATGCTGGTGGGTACGCGCCTCAGGACCTGGACACAGACGTTCCCGGATTTGAGATCACCACGGTGAACTATGGTACGGATGTGCCGAACCTGAAGGTCTCCGAAGGAGTTAAGCGCTACCTGTATGGCCCGGGTAGTATCCATGTTGCGCATGGTGATAATGAGGCTATTACTGTCGGACAATTGGAGGAGGCGGTCCGTGGGTACAAGCGGCTCATTGAGGCTGCTGTGCAGCGGGCTCGCAGGAATTAAAAAGTTTGAACAGCTAGCCATTAACCAGCCGACTAGCCACGACGTGTACATATAACGAGGAAACGATAACGATTGTTTCTCTCCGCTTACTACTAGTACGTATATTCTGTACATAGTATATATACACCCACAGGGAAGTTAATATATGTACCAGAGGATCTATCGTACAGACAGACATTCAATCCGAAGCCAACTTAAGTCATGAAATAGCAAATCCTACTACTAGCAGTAACACTAGTAGTAGTACCAGACATTTAAAGCCAAAAACCGATAGATAATGAAAGTAGTAGACAAGAGACCCAAGTGCCTGCCTCGGATGTA